GTTCAGAATGCTCTTTGATTGTAGGTGAACTACAAATCCCAGTGACTACAACTCCCAAATGACAAACTCTTAAGATGCTCAGATAGATAGATAGATAGATAGATAGATAGATAGATAGACAGACAGATCTTAGAATCCTAGAGTTGGAAGACACTCCGTGGGCCATCCAGTCCAACCCCATTCTGCCAAGAAGCAGGAAAATCGCATTCAAAGCACCCCCAACAGATGGCCATCCAGACTCTGTTGCAAAGACTCCACCACACTCCGGGGCAGAGAGTTCCACTGGTGAACAGCTCTCACCGTCAGGAAGTTCTTCCTAATGTTCTTGGAATCTGAATCCATTGTTCCACTGCATCCTAGTCTCCAGGACAGCAGAAAACAAGTTTATGACTTCCTCTCACATATTTATACATGGCCCTCATCCTGTCTCCTCTCAGCCTTCTCTTCTGCAGGCTAAACATGCCCAGCTCTTTAAGCTGCTCCTCATAGGGCTTGTTCTCCAGGCCTTTGATCCTTTGAGTCGCCCTCCAGTTTGTCAATATCCTTCTTCAATTGTGGTGCCCAGAACTGGACACAGTGTGATTCCAGGTGTGGTCTGACCAAGGCAGAATAGAGCATGGGGAGCATGACTTCTCTGGGTCTAGACATTATGCTCCTATTGATGCAGGCCAAAATCCCATTGGCTTTTTTTGCTGCCGCATCACATTGTTGGCTCATGTTTAACTTCCTGTCCACGGGGACTCTAAGATGTTTTTCACACGTCCTGCTCTCGAGCCAAGCATCATCCCCCCCAAGTTCAACATGAGCCAACAATGTGATGTGGCAGCAAAAAAAGCCAATGGGATTTTGGCCTGCATCAATAGGAGCATAGTGTCTAGATCTAGGGAAGTCATGCTACCCATGCTCTATTCTGCCTTGGTTAGACCACACCTGGAATATTGTGTCCAATTCTGGGCACCACAATTCAAGAGAGATATTGACAAGCTGGAATGTGTTCAGAGGAGGGCGACTAAAATGATCAAGGGTCTGGAGAACAAGCCCTATGAGGAGTGGCTTAAGGAGCTGGGCATGTTTAGCCTGAAGAAGAGAAGGTTGAGAGGAGATATGATAGCCATGTATAAATATGTGAGAGGAAGCCACAGGGAGGAGGGAGCAAGCTTGTTTTCTGCTTCCTTGGAGACTAGGACGCGGAACAATGGCTTCAAACTACAAGAGAGGAGATTCCATCTGAACATGAGGAAGAACTTCCTGACTGTGAGAGCTGTTCAGCAGTGGAACTCTCTGCCCTGGAGTGTGGTGGAGGCTCCTTCTTTGGAGGCTTTTAAACAGAGGCTGGATGGCCATCTGTCAGGGGTATTTATCTGTTTATTTGTCGTGTCAGAGCAACCAGTCCATTATATTACATTTCTAACAGAACAAAGCAAACAAACAGACAAATACAAAACTTGTGAGTTTGGTAGTTGGTTAAATGTCCTTTGACCAGTATCTGGCCACTTGGTGTTGCTGCAAGGAGGTGTTGCTGCAAGGAGGTCCTCCCTTGTGCATGTGGCAGGGCTCAGGTTGCATTGCAGCAGGTGGTCAGTGGTTTGCTCTACTCCACACTCGCATGTCGAGGATTCCACTTTGTAGCCCCATTTCTGAAGGTTGGCTCAATTTGGTGCCAGAGCGCAGTCTGCTCAGCGCCTTCCAAGTCGCCCAGTCTTCTGTGTGCCCAGGAGGGAGTCTCTCATTTGGTATCAGCCATTGGTTGAGGTGCTGGGTTTGAGCCTGCCACTTTTGGACTCTCGCTTGCTGAGGTGTTCCAGCGAGTGTCTCTGTAGATCTTGAAAAACTATTTCTAGATTGCATGCTGGTCCCTTAAGCCTATACACAGTGGAATCCCTATCCAAACCCAGAACTGTTACGTTTGAGAGCGGTTGCTCCTTTTGATTTCTGTGTACCACGGAATTGAGCTTTGTACTAGGGATTTTGGTAAATAGAACATTATATGTTTTCTTGATAATACACTTTGACATTACGTATAGATTGTTTTGTGTTTGTACTGATACCTTACAAGTACTCTGGGATATTGTGTAGTAGCTGGGTTTGAGCCTGCCACTTTTGGACTCTCGCTTGCTGAGGTGTTCCAGCGAGTGTCTCTGTAGATCTTAGAAAACTATTTCTAGATTGCATGCTGGTCACAGAAGTGACCAGCATGCAAGATCTGTCAGGGGTGATTTGAATGCAATATTCCTACTTCTTGGCAGGGGGTTGGACTGGATGGCCCATGAGGTCTCTTCCAACTCTTTGATTCTATGATTCTGTATCTTCGCATACTTTTCCTCCTGTGTCTTAGAATGGCAGGTGTATGCATTTTTGGTGGTGGTGCTGGGATGAGGGTGCATCTTACAATCCATGGCATCTTACAATCAAAGACATATGCTAGCCTTGAATTTGTGGCACCCACTTCCCTCCTGAGCATGTGCCGAATGCCTTGCTCTCTTCACTCGTGGGTTCCCCACGAGATCTATGGGATGCCTTTCTCCCCTTTGAGATCTATGGGATGCCTTTCTCATTCCAAAATTGAGGAGCTGGCGCTACAGAAAGGAAAGGGAGCCGAGGGACTGGGAGGTCAGTGCATAAGACAGCGCAGCGCATTCAAGGAGCGCACTCCGTTTGAGAAAAAAGAAAAGACAACCAGAATCCCATCCTCATTATAACATGGCCTATGGGTGTCAAGTGCTCATCTGCTGATAATGAACCTTATATTTTAATGGGTTGGGTAATAAGGGGGGGAGAGGAAGGGAGGGGGCCGGGCCGCTGCACGGAGCGCAAAAGGTGAGCCTCGGCGGATGCCTCCACGCAGGAAAAGCAAGGCGCACCACCAAGGCTGTCGGCTCCCATTAAGATCTCTTAAGGCGCCATATGGAGAGCGCAGAGTCGGGAGAGAAACCGGGCCTGCATTTTTCATCAAACAGGCGGGACGCGGCTGCATCCTCCACCGTTTGACAGCAAGGCCGCCCTCGCATCCAGACCGTCCAGGAGGACCGGCCCACCTTGTTCCCCCCTCTCGCGTTGAAACTGGAACAAGATTTCCCAACGGCCGACCGAAAAAAGAAAGAACATTCAAGGAATCCGGGCCGAGAACACTTTGAGGAAAACAAGAAGGAAAAGATCCCCTTCTGTCGATGCTAATGAGGCAACCGGGGGTCTAAGGTGATGGATTAGAAATTCAAGCCAGCCGGCAGATGTTTGGAGAAGACTGGGTGGGGGAAACAACAACAAGCAAACAAACAAACAAACAAACAACGGGGCCTGCGTAATTGCAGCTCCAGTTTCCCCCATGCGCTCTTTGCTGTCTGAATGCATAAAAAGAGCTTAACGAAGGGATACACAGCGCTCCTGCACTCCTTGGTGTCGAAATGCATAACAAGTCTAACGAAGGGATACACAACGCTTTGGCATTCCTTGGTGTCTGATTAATATTATTATTAGTATTATTATGTTAATTTATACCCTGCTTTATATTTCCCAAACGAGACTCAAAGCAGCTTACATTTTTATGAATGCATAAAACAGTATAAACAAAAGGATACACTGCGCTTCTGCGCTTCTTGGTGTCAAAATGCATAAAAAAGTCTAACGAAGGGATACATAGTGCTCCTGCGCTCCTTGGTGTCAAAATGCATAAGAAGTCTAAGGAAGGGATACATAGTGCTCCTGCGCTCCTTGGTGTCAAAATGCATAAGAAGTCTAACGAAGGGATACATAGCGCTCCGTGGTGTCAAAATGCATAAAAAAGTCTAACGAAGGGATACATAGCGCTCCTGCGCTCCTTGGTGTCAAAATGCATAAGAAGTCTAACGAAGGGATACACAGCACTCCTGCACTCCTTAGTGTCTGATTATATTATTATTATTAATATTATTATTATTATGTTAATTTATACCCTGCTTTATATCACCCAAAGGAGACTCAAAGCAGCTTACATTTTTATGAATGCACCAAAAGAGTATAAACAAAGCAATACTCTGCGCTTCTGCGCTCCTTTGGTGTCTAAATGCATCAAAAGAGTATAAACAAAGCAATACACTGCGCTTCTGCGCTCCTTGGTGTATAAATGCATCAGAAGAGTATAAACAAAGCAATACACTGCGCTTTTGCACTCTTTGGTGTCTAAATGCATCAAAAGAGTATAAACAAAGCAATACACTGCGCTTCTGCGCTCCTTGGTGTCTAAATGCATCAAAAGAGTATAAACAAAGCAATACATTGAGCTTCTGCGCTCCTTGGTGTCGATATGCATAACAACTCTAACGAAGGGATACACAGCACGCCTGCGCTCCTTGGTGTCTGATTATTATTATTATTATTATTATTATTATTATTATTATTATTATGTTAATTTATACCCCGCTTTATCTCTCCCTAAGGAGATTCAAAGCAGCGTACATTTTTATGAATGCGTAGAAAGACTATAAACTAAGCGATGCACAGCGCTCATGCGCATTTTAGTATCTGAATGCATAGAAAGAGCACAACAAAGGTATACACAGCGCTCCGGTGCTCCTTGGTGTCTGAATGCAAAGTATAACCAAGGGATGCACAGCGCTGATGCGCTCCTTGGTGTCTGAATGTATAAAAAGAGTATAAACGAAGGGATACACAGCACTCATGCTCACATTGGTATCTGAATGCATGGAAAGAGCATAATGATACACAACGCTCCTGTTCTCCTTGGTGTCTGAATGCATACAAAGTATAACAAAGGGATACACAGCTCTCCTGCGCTCCTTGGTATGTAAATACATAGAAAGAGCATAACCAAGGGATACACAGCACTCCTGCGCTGCTTGGTGTCCAAATGCATAAGAAGTCTAATGAAGGGATACACAGCGCTCATGCGCTCCTTGGTGTCTGAATGCATAGAAAGAGCATAACCAAGGGATACACAGCGCTCCTGCACTCCCTGGTGCCCAAATATATAAAAAGAGTGCAACGAAGGGATACACAACGCTCACCTTGCCGTCTTCGGTGTAGACGTTCTCGTGGTAGCCCTTCACGATCGTCCTGTCGATGAAGAGGCTGCGCATCACCACAATGACCTTTAACACTTTGCCTAAGGTCACCTGTCCATAAAAGAACAAGACAGGTGAAGTTTCTGCATACGAGAAAGAAGCTTAATATACATACAATTACAAACCTCACACTCATTGTATGTTTATTATTATCACTTATTGTTGTTGTCATATTATTACTATTGCTATCGTAATCACTATCGTTGTCGTCGTCGTCATCATCATCATCAATCATCATCACTCTCTTCTTCTTCTTCTGAGTCCCAACTCTCAACATCTATGATCCAACTCCCTTGCTGTCATATTAGTACCTCTTCCTCCTCCTTCTTCCAAGTCTCAACCCTCATCATCTATAATCCAACTCCCTCATTGTCATGTTATTACCTCCCCCTCCTCCTCCTTCTGAGGCATAACCCTCACCATCTAGGATCCAACTCCCTCATTATATTATTACTATTACTATTACTATCATCATCATCCTCTTCTTCTGAGGCCCAACTCTCACCATCTAGGATCCAACTCCCTCGTTGTCATATTATTACTACCACCCACCACCACCATCATCCTCTTCTTCTGAGGTCCAACTCTCACCATCTAGGATCCAACTCCCTCGTCATATTATTACTATTACCACCACCACCACCATTATCATCCTCTTCTTCTGAGGACCACCTCTCACCATCTAGGATCCAACTCCCTTGTTGTCATATTATTACTACCACCACCACCACCACCATCATGCTCTTCTTCTCCTGGGGACCAACCCGCACCATCATGGATCCAACTCCCTCGTTGTCATATTATTATAATTACTATTACTACTACTACTACTACCACCACCATCATCATCATCATCATCATCATCATCATCATCATCATCATCATCTTTGTCTTCTGAGGCACAACCCTCACCATCTATGACCCAATTCCCTTGCTGTCATATTATCTTCTTCTTCTTCTGAGTCCCAACCCTCACCATCTATGATCCAACTCCCTCGTTGTCATACTATTATCTCCTCCTCCTCCTTCTGAGGCAGAACCCTCACCATCTAGGATCCAACTCTCTTGTTGTCATATTATTACTATTACTACTACTACTACCCCCCCTCCTCCTCCTTCATCATATTGTCTTCTGAGGCACAACCCCCACCATCTATGATCCAATTCCCCTTCTGTCATATTATTACTATTACTACTACTATCATCTTCTTCTTCTTCTGAGTCTCAACCCTCACCATCTATGATCCAACTCCCTCGTTGTCATATTATTATCTCCTCCTCCTCCTCCTTCTTCTGAGGCACAACCGTCACCATCTAGGATCCAACTCTCTTGTTCTCTTACTATTACTATTACTACGATTATCATCATCATTATCATCATATTTGTCTTCTGAGGCACAACCCTCACCATCTACGATCCAATTCCCCTTCTGTCATATTATTACTATTACTGCTATCATCATCTTCTTCTTCTGAGTCCCAACCCTCACCATCTACGATCCAACTCTCTTGTTGTCATATTATTACTATTACTACTATCATCATCATCATTATCATCATATTCGTCTTCTGAGGCACAACCCTCACCATCTACGATCCAACTCCCTCGTCATATTATTATCTCCTCCTCCTCCTTCTTCTGAGGCACAACCCTCACCATCTAGGATCCAACTCTCTTGTTCTCTTATTATTACTATTACTACTATTATCATCATCATCACTATCATATTCGTCTTCTGAGGCACAACCGTCACCATCTAGGATCCAACTCTCTTGTTGTCATATTATTACTATTACTACCATCATCATCATCATCATCATCTTCGTCTTCTGAGGCACAGACCTCAGTCTACGATGCAATTCCCCTTCTGTCATATTATTACTATTACTACTATCTTTTTCTTCTTCTTCTGAGGCCCATCCCTCACCATCTATGATCCAACTCCTTCCGTCAATGGCTTGACAGACACATAGCGCTTGGCTTGTTTCAAAAATATTTCGCCTGCAGGAGATGTGCCAACTTGACCTTGATGCAGAATATTTTTTCCCCGAATTCAAATCAATACGCGGACAAGGTCACTCTAAAATTCAATTAATATGAATGGGGCAGGAGCCGTCCTTTGAGCGCCAAATGGAACGGCTCCCAGGTAAGACATGCAGGCAGCCCACTTCGCCTCCCTCCGAAAACCCGCCTTGTTTTTGAAACACTGCAAACGGTTGGCAAGCAAAGCCTCTGGCTGTTTTCGAAAGGACAAAAATGTGAAGATAGGAAGGGGAAAAAAAAAGAATTTGCATCGTCCTTAAATCTTTCCTTGACAAAAGACTGAATAATGATGCTACAAAAATCCCCCAAGAACTCCTGGATTGAAAGAGTAAGTGATGCCCCCCCCCCCAATAATTAGCCATTCCACCTGAATTAATGAGGTCCAATTGTAAAACATCGAGTAGACCTGAAGGGGGACGCACGAGATCCGTTTTAAATTCCTCGACGCCCGCATGAAATTTTGAAGAGCCAGGATCAAATATTTAGGAAGCGCTCCTGCATACAACCGGGGAAGGAGTCTCGTTCTTGCTTTCGAGTTACACTCCGTTTATTCGCATCCGCCTGGTCACAAGCGAAGAAGGACTTGGGCTCTTGACCCCCGTTTTGCACAAGGGCAAGGCATCCATTCCTGGCTTTCCTAGGTTACGGAACGTGGACACATACATGCATTTCAGGAGCCACCTGGCCTAGTCATTAGTTAGCACTGTCTTTGGGGTTGTTTTTTCCCCCCTTCCTCCATGTTCTTCATACACCTCCCTCCCTCCCTCTTTCCTTCCTTCCCCTCATTCACCCCTTTTTCTTTCTTCCCTCCCTTATTTCATTCCTTTTATTCCCTTCCTTTCACTTCCCATCTTTCTTTCCTCCCCTCATATCTTTCCCCCTTTCTCTTCCTTTATTTTTCTTTCCCCCACCCCTTCCTTCTTTTCCTCTTTCTTTCCTTCCTTCACTTCTCCCTCCCTCCCTTTGTCTCCCTTCCTCCCTTCTCCCTTCTTTTCCTTTCTTTCCTTCTTTCTTTCTTCTTTCTTTCTTTCTTTCCTTCCTTCACTTCTCCCACCCTTTTCTCTCTCTCCCTCCCTCCCTCCCTTCCCTTCTCCCTCCCTTCTTTTCTCCCTCCCTCCTTTTCCCTCCCTCCCTTATCTTCTCCCTTCCTTCTTTTCCTTCCTTCCCTTCCTTCCCTTCTCCCTCCCTTCTCCTCCTCTTGCTTTCCTCCCTTCACTTCTCCCTCCCTTCTTTTTTCTTCCTCCCTCCCTTCTCTCTCCCTTTTTTACCTTTCTTTCCTTCCTTCCTTGACTTCTCCCTCCCACCCTTTCCTTCTCTTCTTTTCCTCTTTCCTCCCTCCTTTCTTTTCCCTCCCTCCCTACTTTACCTTCTCCCTTCCTTCTTTTCCTTTCTTTTGTCCCCTTCTCCCTCCCTCTCCCTACTTTTCCTCTTTCTTTCCTTCCTTCCTTCCCTTCTCCCTCCTTCCCTCCTTTCCCCCTTCCCCTTCCTTCACATCCCTCTCTTCTTTTCCTCTTGCTTTCCTTCCTTCACTTCTCCCTCCCTCCCCCTACTTTTCCTCTTTCCTTCCTTCCTTCCTTCCTTCCTTCCTTCCTTCCTTCCTTCCTTCCTTCCTTCCTTCTCCCTCCTTCCCTTCTTTCCCCCCTTCCCCTTCCTTCACATCTCTCTCCCTCTCTTCTTTTCCTCTTGCTTTCCTTCCTTCACTTCTCCCTCCCTCCCTTCTTTTCCACTTTCTTTCCCTTCTTCACTTCTCCCTGCTTTTTTCTCTCTTTCCTTCTCCCTCCCTTTCCCTCTCTCTCCCTTCTTTTCCTCTTTCCTTCCTCCCTCCCTCCCTTCCCTTCTCCGTCAGGAGAAAATGACAGGAGAGAAGGTAAATAATAAGAAGGAAGAGAAGAAGGAGAAGGAGGATAGGGTGTAGAATAAGGAAGAGTAGAAGGAGAAGAGGAAAGAGGAGAAAGAAAAGGAGAAGAAAGAGAAGGAGGAAGAGGAGGAGGAAAAGAAGGAGGAGGAGGCGGAGGAAGCGAAGGAAAGGTTGTTCTTGTTGTTGTTGTTGAGTGTGGGATGAGTCACTGTTGCCTAAAGCCAGACAATCTCTCTGTTCTTCTGAAAGTAGGCAAGTCCTGGATGATCCAATCGAGACCCAAGACCGCTTGCAAAACCAGTGGAAGTTACTTCCTGAGAGAGGATGCTATAAATCTCAGACTAAACTCTGAGACACAGTGGCACAGTTGCACTCGAGGGAAAGTGCTCACTCTGATGGCGTTCAAGACGGTTGTGCGCCGGAAGGGATGCTCCACAATCCACTGGTTTCAATGGCAGGGAAACCAAGTTTGTGCCTCCCTCTGGCAAGAAAGCGTTGAAAGGCCGGATGGGGAAGGAAGGCTCCTGCGTTGCTCCCACGTTAACGGGCCTTCATGAAGCACCACAATCGGGACGCAACTTGAGGCAATGTTTTCGCATTCAGCCTCAGAAAGTTGCTGACGGGACGGAACAGGCGGAAAAACAAATCCCCAAGTTCCAGATTGAAGACGAAGGAACCGTTTGATGGTTGAAAAACAAGCTTCCTGTCATTCCTGTCTCTTCATTGAGGCGATTATTTCCGATTAGTGTGCGTTTCTTGCTACGCTCTAAATGAAGGCGAATCGGCCTTCATTCACCTGAGGAGACGCGATACACAAAGGGCTTCGTATTCTTTTATGAAATCATTCATACTCTGACCTATATCCAAAGATATAGGGCGTACCTAGAGAATAGGATTTCTCTCCAAAGATAAAGGACTTCTATCCAAAGACATAGGATTTATATCTATCTATCTATCTATCTATCTATCTATCTATCTATCTATCTATCTTTATGGTTTCTATCCAAAGATATATGACTTCTATCCAAACATATAGGACATTTCCAAAGATATAGAGCTTTTATCCAAACATATAGGGTTTCTATCCAAACATATAGAACTTCTATCCAAACATATAGGACATTTCCAAAGATATAGAGCTTCTATCCA